GAGGACAGTGGGTGTGCTGGTGGCTTTGGGCCAGGGGCGAATTTCCTCTGATGACTTTCATCGCATGTTAAGTTCTCCTAGTCGTGACAGCTGGCCATCAAGAGCCGTCACTGCACCAGCTGCGGGACTATACCTCGTCAATGTGCATTACCCTCCGGAGGCCTTGCGTTTCCCTTACCCTGACTTCAGTGCCGTTGAAAGCTGGGAAGGAGATAAGGAACTGTAGTGTGACTTTTTGAATGTGAAATCCAGTGTGGCTTACCCTGGGTGATATAGACTTAAGTGAAAAGGTGTGAGACTTGGACAAGTGAACGAAAGAGAGAAGGTTGGTACAGAATTTTTATTACTTGTGCGTAGAAGCAGTCTCTTGTCAAGTCTAGTCAAAAGGGTATTAGGATTGGTAGTTGTAAGAAGGAAAGTAAGAAAGTATATTGACAAGGAAAAAGAAAGTAAGGTAGTGAATTAGTCATTGTTGCTCAGTGAGTGACCAGATGAGAAACTAGAGCATTGGTAAAAGTTGAAGACTGTAGTTATTCTGTTGTAGATTTCTGAATCATACATGTAGAGCTTCTCTTATCCTCTTATTGTTGCTAGCCTATTGCTTTTGCTATCAAATTCATAAAGAGCCTTATCTGTGCCTTTTTGTATCAAGATCTTTCACAAAATGTCAAGCTTAGCTCAGCAGTTAGAGGCCAAGCGCACAAACTTGCGACACACGCAGACACAAGTGACCACGCCAGATGGCCAGTCCAAGATTGAAGACATTCGCCCAGATGGCACACAAGTTGTCAGAATGTTAGCACCTCTTAGCCCGGGGTTTGTGGTCGATACAAAGCCCGACCTGAGGTATTCCCCCATCCTAACAAAGCTAATCTTGGGGTCACAGGATGTTGCTCATGACCTGGAGCTTCTCCATAAAAACAAGGTGACTCACATATTGAATGTTGCAACTGGGGTTATAAATCTCTTTGAGGGCTGGTTTACGTACAAAACAAAGGAGGCCTACGACACCCCAACCTGCCGCATAATTAACATTTTTGACGAGTGTTGTGAGTTCATCCACGATGCTATAATGGCTGGAGGTTGTGTCCTTGTACACTGTAATGCTGGTGTATCTCGTGCTGCATCTATTGTAATTGCTTATTTGATGAAGCACTATGGCATGAATTATGATGAAGCTCACAGGTTTGTGAAGTCCAAGAGATCTTTCATTCGCCCAAATGTAGGTTTTGTTGAGCAGTTGAAAGAGTATGAAGCAAAGTTGTCAAAATGACAAAAAGCAAAGGCTGTGCCAAAGAAACCTAGGCTCCTACTCTACTGAGCATGTTTTGTTACTATTCCTTCCTTTAAACCTGTGCTGTGTAAACCTAATTGAGTTAACTCTGTATTTTACCCTTTTTCAGACTTTATTGCGGGTATTCTGATGGTCCTGCTGGTATTAACAGTTGCAATCTAGAGAACTTCAAGTAAAGGGACATTTCTGTAGTTCAAACTGTCTAAAATAAAGGTAAAAAAAAATGGAGGAGATTAATCTTCAGCCGAGTGGTGTCCTAAGCGATGGTGCAGCACAGAGTCAACAGCAGCCAGAGCACTTTGCTGGTGATCTTGAGTGTGAGGGACAGGAGCAAGGGAAGACATTTGAGGTTGAGGAGAAGCTAGAATTTAACAGATGTCATGTGGCTTCAGGAAAGGAACAAAGTCATGTACAGCAACAGAATACTCAGCAGAGACTGGGTGAAGTTGGGGGAGAAGGACAAGGGAAGCAGAGAGAGATGAAGGAAATTATGCCTAAGAAGCAAGAACCTTCACAAGGGAACCGGGAAGTGATTTGCACACTCAAGGGTGAGATTCCAAAGGGAGAGGAACATAAGAGGGAGAAGAAGAATGTCGAGCAACCCCCCCGAAAACAGAATAAAAATGCAGAGGCGCAGCAGCAGAAACAGACTAAAAAGCTAAAAGACCCAGTGTCAGAAAACCAGGAACGGATCAACTACCTCGTACAGGTCTCAAAAGTTCTTGCAACAATGCCTCCACCACACCATAAGGAAAATAGTCCCAGGAATCATGAGTGTGCTGACCAAGCCCTTGCTTCACAGACAGGTGCCTTGGCTGCAGCCATTGGTCGTCGCTGTGTGATGCGTTTGTCCCCTGCACTGAAGCGCTCCCTCTGCAAAGGGTGTGGCGTGGCCTTGGTATATGGTGTCAATGCAAGGGTTAGACACAAGTCTCGTCGCCAAAAGCACTTAGTTGTCACATGTCTTGCTTGCCGGACTATTAAAAGATTTGTTAATGATCCAAAGCATAAACTTTGGTGTGAACAAGAAGAAGCCATATTGTAGCTTGTCAAACATGACAAAATAACTGTGTCTGAAGCACAGGAGCCAAAGTTAATTCTGTAGACAGCAATAAATTTGATACTCATATTGTAAATTTGTTCCACAAATAAAGATTTAGTGATGACAGATTTGAGTCTTTAAAGCATTGCATGAACTATTTTTAT